TTCTGTATTTAATCTCAGAATTCTGACTTTTTTTTTCAGAATTCTGACTTTAATCTCAGAATTCCGACTTTTTTTCTCAGAATTCTGACTTTAATCTCAGAATTCTGACTTTTTTTATTCAGAATTCTGACTTTAATCTCAGAATTCTGACTTTTTTTTTCAGAATTCCGACTTTTTTTCCCCAGAATTCTGACTTTAATCTCAGAATTCTGACTTTAATCTCAGAATTCCGACTTTTTTTTTCAGAATTCTGACTTTAATCTCAGAATTCTGACTTTTTTTTTTTCCAGAATTCTGACTTTAATCTCAGAATTCCGACTTTATTCTCAGAATTCTGACTTTTTTCTCAGAATTCTGACTTTAATCTCAGAATTCTGACTTTTTTTTTCCAGAATTCTGACTTTAATCTCAGAATTCCGACTTTAATCTCAGAATTCCGACTTTAATCACAGAATTCTTACTTTTTTTTTCAGAATTCTGACTTTTTTTTTCTCCAGAATTATGACTTTAATCTCAGAATTCTGACTTTTTTTTTCAGAATTCTGACTTTAATCTCAGAATTCTGACTTTTTTTTTTTCCAGAATTCTGACTTTAATCTCAGAATTCCGACTTTAATCTCAGAATTCTGACTTTTTTTTTCTTTCAGAATTCTGACTTTAATCTCAGAATTCCGACTTTAATCACAGAATTCTGAAAAAAAAGGTCAGAATTCTGACTTTAATCTCAGAATTCTGACCTTTTTTTTTTCCAGAATTCTGACTTTAATCTCAGAATTCTGACTTTTTCCCCCCAGAATTCTGACTTTAATCTCAGAATTCTGACTTTTTTTTTCAGAATTCTGACTTTAATCTCAGAATTCTGACTTTAATCTCAGAATTCCGACTTTTTTTTTCAGAATTCTGACTTTAATCTCAGAATTCTGACTTTTTTTTTTCCAGAATTCTGACTTTAATCTCAGAATTCCGACTTTATTCTCAGAATTCTGACTTTTTTCTCAGAATTCTGACTTTAATCTCAGAATTCCGACTTTAATCACAGAATACTTACTTTTTTTTTTTTCAGAATTCTGACTTTTTTTTTTCTCCAGAAGTATGACTTTAATCTCAGAATTCTGACTTTTTTTTTTCAGAATTCTGACTTTAATCTCAGAATTCTGACTTTTTTTCCTCAGAATTCTGTATTTAATCTCAGAATTCTGACTTTTTTTTTCAGAATTCTGACTTTAATCTCAGAATTCCGACTTTTTTTCTCAGAATTCTGACTTTAATCTCAGAATTCTGACTTTTTTTATTCAGAATTCTGACTTTAATCTCAGAATTCTGACTTTTTTTTTCAGAATTCCGACTTTTTTTCCCCAGAATTCTGACTTTAATCTCAGAATTCTGACTTTAATCTCAGAATTCCGACTTTTTTTTTCAGAATTCTGACTTTAATCTCAGAATTCTGAAAAAAAAGGTCAGAATTCTGAGATTAAAGTCAGAATTCTGACCTTTTTTTTTTTTTTTCAGAATTCTGACTTTAATCTCAGAATTCTGACTTTTTTTTTCCAGAATTCTGACTTTAATCTCAGAATTCAGACTTTTTTTTTTTCCAGAATTCTGACTTTAATCTCAGAATTCTGACAATAAAAAAGTCAGAATTCTTAGATTTAAGTCAGAATTTTGAGAATAAAATCAGGATTGTGACAGAATTCTGACTTTTTTCCCCAATACTAAACTAAAATAAAATTAAAAAATCGGTAAACTTTTTTTTTTCCAGTGGCCCTAATCTTCTTCCGTACATGAAAGCTGACAAACAGTGAATTTATTTTCTTGGTTTAATTAGTTTCAATCATGGTGAAGAAGGGAGGGGCTCTCCAAGTCTTTTAGGAGTCTTCTATGCAGGGTTGAGTTTGGAAGAAAGTCCTGATAATAGATCATAGACCCATAGAGAAAAGCCATCAGGGAATTACAGATTTAATACAGAAGTGATAATTTACTAATAGCCTTTAAATGTTAGGAATACTAGTATCCTCAGATTCCTTTCTGTTTCATTTATTTCTCCTGCTTTTCCTAGAGCATAGATAAAGGAATGTGTTTATATTAGTGAGGAAGAGCTAAAGGAAAATCTGATCCGTCTTGTGTGATTTTTCTGTTGTTGCTAATAATGGATGTGATCTTTTTCTTTGCTTTCGTGTTGGTTGGATCTCATTAGTGTGGATGAACTCTGAACAGGTCCTGCCTGCTCAGCCCCATGAACATTTCTCACATCCACGAACCAACCCTGTCTGATCAGATCTAACAACTGTATCTTAGTTAGCTCTGGAGTTTCAGAGAAGCTCTGGATCACATGGCCCTTGTGTTGACGTTTGAGCTTGGCCTGTTTTTCAGTGTAGTCCTGTTTCTCTGACTGACTAACTGGATGTGCTCTCTTCACCCTCTGACATGGGAGCTGGCTCGGAGCTCGTCTGCCTGGCTGTGTGTTTCCTGGACGGGGCCACCTTTTACAGCTTCTCTTTGTATCTAGGCTTCTTTTTCTATGTCTGCTTCTGTCTCCTTGAACCCCAGTGGGCCTCAGCAGATGGCCACTCACACTGAGCCTGGTTCTGCTGGAGGTTTCTTCCTGTTTTCCTTAGATAGAAAACTTGGATGATCTGGTGAACTGGAAAGTGCCTTGGTATGATGTGTTGTGAATTGGCGCTATAGAAATAAACTGAATTTAATTTAATTTGAGGTAACACGAGCGTGATCAATATTGACCAGTAAAAGTGTTTCATTTATCTCCTGTAGGTAATATTTGGGTCAAACATCACACGCTCTGCCTTTAAGGTAAAAGTATGTTTTTATAAATGCAAACGAGCCTCATTGGAGCAATAATTCGTATTAATTGAATATGTCTGTGCAGTAAATCAGTTTATAAATGAAGTTAGTTAGATAATGCTTTCTGCATCTGATAACTGCTTGATTATCTGAATGAATAAAGTGTTACAGAAATGTGCTTCATAGAAAAGGCATAACTGGGAATCGATGAGCAGAGAAAACAGCACTGAACCCCACTTTCTTTACTGTCTTTCAAAAACACATTTTTCTTCCCCGCATGAAACCAAAGTTATAAGAAACAAATTTCCAGCAAAGTTTTTTTTATGTGATTATTTCATTTAAAAGACCTATTGGTCAACAAATGTTGAAAGAAGGTTTTGGAAATGCGGAAAACTCTTCAGTTGGGTGGGTTTAGTTTTCATTTTTCTTCTCTCAATCTTGGCTGCGTTCGTCATCATCATCATCCCTCCTGCATAGTTCTGATCTCTGAAGAAAAAGCTTCAGTCATGCTAACTTCCTCCTGTTTAAGGCTTATCTGTTAAAGTTACCATCAGGGTTTCCTCTGCTCTGCTTGTGATCAGCAGTCTTTTCATTTCAGATCTGTAAACCTGCAGTGAGGAGAGAATCAGCACCTCGCTCTGCGTTTCGTTTCCGGCAGCCCAGTTTCAGTTGATCTGTTTACATTTCATTCCTGCTTCTCCTCCAGTCAGATCAGATCTCTGTTAAAGCTGAGATTCACTGATGGTCAGAAAAGATTAACTGAGTTTTCATTGGTTGGAACTATGATGAGCTACAAAATAAAAAAAAAAAACACAATCGTGATTCGCAATGTTCCCCAACAAACTGCTTTACTCCATAACTCACTGCCATACGTTTCATTTTCTTCTTTTTGGAAAGAATCTAATACCTGCAGATGGATTTGCCCCACTTCTCATTCGGCAGCTTTATGTCAGTGGGAATTGGAAGTTAGCAAGGTTTTAAAAGGTTATTTTATTATTAAGGACAATTAAAGGGTTGATGGTTCGATTCCCATCTTTCTCCCTCTCTTTAATCACCTTGTTTCCCGTCCATTTCTGCAGTAGAAATGTTTGTTTTTCAGTTGGCCTGTGAGCTTCAGCCGCTGGACCCATGCTTGACCTGTTCTGCAGGTGGTGATGCTGTAAAGAGCCTGAAATGTAAACAACGGGTGGATGGATGGATGGATGGATGGATGGATGGATGGATGGATGGATGGATGGATGTGCTGATCTGCTAAAGCTGGATGCTAAAACCTTTTCAATTATATTTCTCCTCAGCAGCTAAATTCCTGCCTGGGTTTGAAGCTCAAAGTCAAAGTTTAGAAGCTCAGATGTGAATCAGTGTCTTTCTGTTGCTTTTAAATTAAATCTGATTTTTTCTTAATTGTCAGACAAAGATAATAATAATAAATAACAATGTAGATGATCCTGGATGAGCTATTAATACCAACTACTTCCGCCACTTTCACTTTTTCCCAAACAGTCTCTAAATTGAGCGTGCGCGTGACGTGCGCGCGCATACGAAGCAAACTACTCAGCCGGCACGCGCGCCTTTGTCACGCGGATTGCTCGCCATTCGGCTCTCGGTCGCGCGCGCTTCTGGTGCGGATCGCAGCGAATTAAAATCTAGAATCGGATGGGAGGAGAGCAGGACCGCTTCGACCTTCGATTATTGATCAGAAACTGTTTGTCATTTCGATGCGCGGCTCCGGTCCGCCCCTTTATTTACTGATCTCCGCTCCGCTCCGGTTCCGGGCTTCTCCGCATCCGGCACCTGAGCCGCTCAGCTTCCCTTTGTGGACGCGCGTATCAATCATTTCTAACCACTGATAGTCAATCAAACAGAAAAAACATCAATATCCGCAGCATGATGGACTTAATAAGGCGGGAAGGCTTAATTAGTTTAGGAATGTCCTTCAATTAATTTCTATAAAACTTATAAAAATGTAGTGACGTGTTTCTGAGTAAAATATGTAATAATTATGCTGTTTTTTTGTTTTTGTTGGTAATAATGTTACTTTTTAAAGATGAAATAAAAGATAATGAGCAGGAAATGTTAATAATTAAAACTTGACATTAGATTTGAATACATGGTAATAAAGAGTTATTTATATAAGCAGATAAATCGCTGTGGTTCTGTTTGTCCTGCAGAGGCTGAAGGCCTCAGTAAGGAAGGCCTCTGCCGGCCGGGCCTAGCTGTCATTCCACCTGCCGGCCTGCAGGTGGCGGTATTCCCCAGGCTGAGAGGATCACCGCTCCTGGTTCATTTTAAACGGCTTCAACGAAACATCTACCGCAAAACTAACTGCTCAGTTTAATAAAAGGAAAATAGATCAAGATGAAAGCGGGAAGTTTTTCGTTGAGTAACGAAGAAACGAATATTTTAGGAGGAAGTTCAGATCCAGAAGTTTTTCTGCTTTAGTCTGTTTTTTTTTCTTCTCATGCAGGAATCACGCTGTTTGCTTCGTTTTCGTTAAAAACTGCAAAGCAACCAGTGATTATGGTAAGTTAACCGTTTTAAATAATTCATAAAGTGGAGTTAAAACTAAAAAATTCCGGAAAATATACTTTCTGCTCGAGGATTGATCGGAAAGCCGAGAGGTTAAAGAGAAATGATTTAAATTTAATTTTAAAGTGTTTTTTTTCTGTGTGTTTGTGCTGCTTTGTTCCCTGATCAGCCCCCTCCCCCCTCTCTCCCCCTTCCTCCCCCACCCAGCTCCATTTTGTGTGGCTGAGCTCCTCATGCTCCTCCTCCTCATGGGGCTTTAAATTCCTCCTTAGATTCACAAAAACTTCAGCTCCATTTTACTTTACTAAACACCATGAAACTAGAGACAGACTTTTTAAAACTTCACTTCCTCCTTATTTACATTTTATAAAAACATTAAACACGAGAGTTGCTGATGAATGGTTTAATTCCTGTTTCTATGGCTACATCAGTCTGCTTTTATTCTTTTATCTTGAAAAAAAAGAATTGAAATAATTTAATAAACTTCCTCAATGCTGAGCTTATTAGTCCTAAATAAAAGTATTAATTGCTGCTTTATTCCTGTTTTCTCTCATCATCCCCTCTTTTTTATATTTAAGGTTATTTGTTGATCAAGAAGGGAAGTGAAAAAAGATTAAGAGTAAAAAAAAAAAAAGATAATTATTAAAACCAATAGTTTTAAATTTGAGCAGGAAATGTCCAATGGTGATACAGCATCATTTCCTCCAGGGGGTCGATTCCAAGATGGCGAAATAAACAGAAACTCAATCATCAGAAAAGTTAGAATAAAACAAAGAATAATGCAACCAACCCCAGTCCTACAGGATGAAACTAATGAATTATTAGTAATTATAAATTAATCCATTTGATCTGGTCTGAGGATGATTTGACTTAAGACCAGTTTTTATAAAGTTTTAGTTACAATTTATGGTATTTTTGAAATGAAGATGAATGTTAATGACTAATAGTTTTTTTGGGATCCTTTTCATTCGATGGGATTTAATTAAAAGGCAACAATAATCAAATGACATACATTTATAAAAATGCATAAAAAATAAGAATAGAAACATGCATTTAAATTTAAACACAGCAAAAATAAGGTGCTGTGGGAACCAAACGGACATCAGAGCAGAAAAAGCTGCTTTATGTTTCTGTACTTTGGTTCCATTTTCCATGTTTGCATGAAACCCTTTCTCCTTGTGTGCAGCAATGCTTCCTGACTGAAAGATGCATTCAATGATGGCTGAATGCCGCCGGAGGAACTTCCTGTTTCCATGATGTCAGCGCAGGAAGCCAGAGGCACCTGCCTGTCAGGTAGCCTGCTTCCGTTTCTTCATCCCCAATGTTAAAGCCCTAAAAAATGATGCCCTTATATGGACTTCCCTCCACAATCTGACCTCACCTGTCTGCTCAGGATTTATTTGCTCCCTTCTAGAAACATTTATCAGAAACTTCTCACCTCCTTTTTTCTACCTTTTCTGGGTTGAATAAATTACAACAAAATCCAGAATGAAAAAAAAGAAAACTTCTAAAATCTTAATCCTACAGCAGCTAAGCAGGACTTTGATCTTCATTTAACTCTTCAGGCTGTTTCTATAAAGACTTTAAATTCGTTAGGAAAAGTTTTGCTCCTGATTGTTTGACGCAGAGTTTATTATTTTCCTGCTGATTTAAATTTCCTTCAGAATATTTAGGAAATCTGGTAAATATTTACATTAAACATAGAGTAATAAAGAAAGAGGCTTTTTTATGTAGAAAGCAACAGAATTATTGTATTTTGAAAAACATTTTACTTTATCTTATATTTTCTTTAAGATTAAGATGACAATAATACCTTAAATATTCTTGAACTCTTTTACTTACCTTGTTCTTAATTTAGTTTTTCAAAAACAAGTGAATAAAGTTTAACATCAGATTAAAAGACTGAAGGGATTTATTTCAACTGCAGGTAAAACAAAGTTTTTTAAGCTTTGGCTGATAAAGAAAACCCTAAAAACAGAAAGGGGAAGACGAGCCCGTATTTTTCTGGGGGAAAAGGGCAAAATATAATAAAAATACTGCAATAAATGAGATATTAATATGTTAAATAATTGTATTTTCCTTTTATTTGAGATGGTTAGACAATCTGACAACGAAATAAGATGATTTATCTCATTAAAATGAAGAACCTATTTCAGATGTTTCAAAGCGTCTAGTTTTATGGATCTTAAAGCAGATCTCGCCTCTTTTTTTAGCGTCTTCTGTGAAAAATGATCCATTTAGTTGAAAGGAAGTTGTCTTTATGTTCTGATCTCCATTGCTGCAGTGGGAGGATGTCAGCAAATCTCATTAGATCTGCATGTTATGTACGCACTCATAAACTCAGGTGATTCAAAGTGAAACATTAACATCTTTACATCATTAGTTTCACCTGTTTGGTCCCAGTTGGACGTCTGAGGTCCAAATGCAGGAGAAATGAAGAACAGGAGGTAAATGTTGCTTCTGATTTCTGAAGGTGTCATCATGGTGTCCTTCCTTCCCCACCGCCGGGTGAGGAGCGCAGACGGCTTCTCTTTAATACCACTACAGAACAAACCTTTAAAATTTAATCAGACGAGCAGAAAACAGTTTGAACCTGCAGACGGAACGATTCAGTGGGAAAACTGATCCGCTCTGACCTCCTTTCAGGTTCCATTAAAATGATGTTTAAGACCTTTTTTAAGTTAGATTTTTTTCTGCCTCATGAAGCAAGTAAGTTCCCTCTGAGGAAGAGCCAGAAGTCTTCATCATAAAGTACCGAAAACAGCAAAGAATGGAAACACAGTGTAGTAAATGAAGGACGAATGAGGCTGATGATTTAAGCCTTTAGTTCTGTCGCCGACAGCTAATCATTAGCCTACAGCTAATAAAGACAGAATATCACTAAATGAAGTCAGAGCAATGAGACATTTTGATGCAGAAATGTTGAATCCCTGCACTGCAAAGTCTCTGATCTAGAAATAAATGAAACTAAAGTGCATTTCTCATTAATTTGAGTCGGTAAAGGGGAGGAAGTGGAGGTGAAAAGATGATTTTTTTTCTCTTATTTTAAATGTGAATTACCTTAATCCTTGATAAGTTAGTGTTTTTGATCACTTGCACCCCCCCCCCCCCCCCCCAACTCCCTCAGTGAGGTGCAGAAGCGTTAGATTTATATGCAAGATGCTGCTACCTGGCTGTACCTGTTTATTTTGGCTTTTAACCAATTAGATGAGCTTGAATGATTTATCACCTATTGTAAATTAAGGTGAAAAAAATGTTAACGGCTAAATGTTTAAAAGTCAAGCTAAAAATGTAATGAGCAGTGTTAGAAAAGTCAAAAATTGAAGTGTCTTTATCTGCATTTAAGGTCTAAGGTTATGTTGTAACAAAAAATATAAATATATATATATTTCTTTTACTCAGTGTTTTTCATGAATTTCTCATAAAACTTTTGTTACTTTTCTTAATATTTTAGGATAATTGGTCGCTGCTTATTATTACATTGACCTTCATTCAAATATATTTTTCAAAAATGTAAAAAAAAAAAACAATCCACTAGACTTTGTTTCGAGGTTTGAAGACATTTCTCTTCTCATCCAAGAAGACTTTTCAATGTGAAATGTCTGAAGCGGCGTAAAGTTTGAGGTTTCATACAGTAGCCCAACAAAACCATGTCTTGCTTAGAAAACATGCAAATTAAAAACAAAACGAGGCTTTCTTTTTTGTCCACTCGATGAAGCCTCTGAACTCAACGCTGTTTCTGACATTTTGAATTGAAAAAGCTTCCTGGATGGGAGGCGAAACTTCTTCAAACTTGGAAACAAAGCCAGGGGATTGATTTTAACTTTATGGAATGACTATGACCTGGATGACTGAGAATCTTCACCAGCAAACATCAAAATATGTGTATTTCTTAATGTTATGAAGGTAATAAGTCCTCTGACTTGAAATGTTGATTTTTAAAGTATTTCACTGAGTGCCATATAAAGGGGTAATCCATGAAAAAATGTTCTTATCTGCTCAAATCAAGGGAAAATTCACTTTTTTTTAAATAAAAAAAAGAATAATTAATAGCTTAGTTGTTTTTATTTTGTGTGTGTGTGTGTTTTTTTTTTTTTTAAGGTCCTCGTTGGAACAGATGCTCTAAACCAAGGGTGGGAAATTCCAGTTCCTGGGGGCCATTCTCCTGCAACTTTTAGATGTACCTTTGGTTCAACACACCTGAATCATGTTATTAGATGCTTGAGAGGACTCTGGAGGAACTGACTGCATCCTGAGGAGGAAACTCATTGATTCAGGTGTGTTGGACCTAAATGTGCGCAGGAACTGGAATTGCCCACCCCTGCTCTAAACAGTTGAATGGGATCATTTCTAAAACATCCAACTGGTGCTGTGGACTAGTTTGATGAAACTTGTTCTTTAGCTGCAAAAAAAAAAAAAAAAAAAATTAAATCCGGGTCTTTTTTTTTTCTTTGCATTTAGTGCATTTTTTATTCATTTCACCTGCTCAGGTTAAGGTACAAATTAACTGATTTTAACACCTTTCTACTTTAGATTTTTGAGTTTTTTTTTTTTTTTTAGCATATTCAATCATTTCTGTTTTTTCAATTAAGTTATAAATGTGACCAAGAGAATCTGGATGATGATGCATATTATCTCTCATCTCTTTTTGAATTTATTGTAAATAATCTTTTGATCTAATGATGCACCTTTAACTATTAGACTATTATTTTTTTGTTCTTGCAGGTCTGACAGGCTGACTCCAGCTGAGCAAATCAAACCTGGTGGGATTAGATCCTCCTGGCAGTGTTGAGTAAGGGTAGGACATTAGCGTCAGCTAACATAGCCCTTCTGCAGCTAAAGGAGGCAGATCTAGAATATCACTTTCTACTGCTGTTTATTGGCTCTGTGAGAAATGGAGGAACAGGAGTGGCTCAGAGTCTTCCTGTTTAAAAGAAATTCATGTGGTGACATCGCTTTGATGAAAGGACTGGAGAACGGTCTGCAGGTGAGTCCTAGAGAAGGTTAAAGCATGAGGAGCCTGCATGTTCTCAGGCTGTCTGTCTGTCTCCTCCCTCAGCATTCCCATTCACCCCATTTCTCCCCAACCTTTGACCCCTGCATATTCACCCCTCCCCCCAAACACACACAGCGCTGCTCCCGAGCTCCAAACACAAGAGGACCAACTAAATCATTTCAGAAAGTTGCTATTGTTGTTTTTCTATACATATTTTCCCTCCTTTGTTTTCTTTAAAACTGTGAATCAGATAAAATTAACTTCAGCTTTAAGTTCCTTGGAATATAAAACATTTGATCGCTTATAGATCGTATGAATGTTTTTGTTTCTTTTCTAAAGATATCGAAAGATATTTAATGTGAACATGGACTATATGCACTAACTGAGACGAGCTACAAAGAATGTATAGCGGCTCTAGTTGATTGAGTTCTATGGCTATGAAAGAGCTCAACCTTAGAAACTTTGAACTGTTCTATGAAATCGACCTTGATGAATCCACTTCATGTTCACATCTAAGCTTCTCTATCTTTTTATATCTCGTTTATTATGTTCCTGCCTCATTCTGACCTCCATCTATGCTGCGTTTAAATATTGGGAAAAAAAAAAGGTTTAACATTGAGGTTACTCTACTTTAAGTTAATTTATATTTAATTAGAGGGAGAAGAGGTTTGAGTAATACGTTTTAAATCATCATACCCCTTTTCAGACAATTTCCATTAATCGATGTCAGTTCTCTGGCTGTATTTATTTGGTGGAGGGTTTCGTTTCTATTTATGTTAAGGGAAATTTAGTAAGGTTGGAAATTGGTGTTTGGTTTGATGTTTACTAGTCTTTATTTGTGTCTATTTAGTTGACTAATTTATTGTTGTTTGTCAAATTGTCTGAAATAGATTCCTGTCCATTTGCTTAATGTGTGTGAATCACAGATGCCTCCCGGAGAAGCTGCAGAGACCCGACCTAAAGTCAGCCGTTACATCTATCCGTTCCACATTGAGGTTTAAAAAATGTTTTCTTCTAACTTTTGGTCTCGTTCATAGCTGCACCCTAACGTATAGACTGTTCTCTTTGTCCTAAAAACTATTCATCAAAGTAAGGGTAGAGATCAACTTTGCATCGAGCTGCTGGACTAAAATTGGCTGGTCTGGATTATTTGTTTACCTATAAAATGTGTCTGAAAGAAACAGGACCGGGGATATTAACCCTTTGCATGACTTCATTTCAAACCCAAAAGTGTAAAGACCCGACTGATGTTCAGTTATCTGAATGTGAGATGTTGATGTACATTAAATTAATGTCATTAAAATTCCAGTTTGTTCGCTTAAATTTGCATCTTTTCTAAGCAACAGGGTTTTGTTTTGCTACTGTATAAAGCCTGGAACTCAACGCTATTTCTGACATTTTGTACTGAAAAAGCTTCCTGGATGGAAGAGAAACGTCTTCAAAGTTGGAAACTTTTGGAATGACTTCAAGTGTTTTGGGCACTGAGTGCCATATAAAGGGTTAACCCTTTGGGGGGAAAATGGTATTATCTGATCAAATAAGGGAAAATTCAAAAAAAAAATAATCAAAAATTTTTTTTTGTTTTTTTAAGGTCCTCCTTGAAACAGATGCTCTAAGCCAGGGGTGGGAAATTCCAGTTCCTGGGGGCCATTCTCCTGCAACTTTTAGATGTACCCTTGGTTCAACACACCTGAATCATGTTATTAGATGCTAGAGGGGACTCTGGAGGAACTGACTGCATCCTGAGAAGGAAACTCATTCATTCAGGTGTGTTGGACCAAGGATGGCTCCTAAATGTGCAGGATGCAGGTGCCCGGGAACTGGAATTGCCCATCCCTGCTCTAAACAGTTGAATGGGATTATTTATTTCTTAACAACCAACTGGTGCTGTCAACTAGTTTGATAAAACTTTGTTCTTTAGCTGCAAAAATGAATAAAATCCAGGTCTTTTTTTTTCTTTGCATTTAGTGCATTTCTTCATTTCACCTGCTCAGAGTAAGGTACAAATTAACTGATTTTAACACATTTCAACTTCAGATTTTTGAGTTTTTTTGTAGCATAATCATTTTTGTTTTTTCCAAGAAAGTATTCCATAAACTGTTTCTTTGTAAATCAATTAGTAGAACGGCCTTTCCAGATGTTATTTATCAACACGGAGAGGCTAAAGTGAGAATTTTGAACCTTTGTTAAGTTTTTTGATGGTGTTGTCTAAACTCTCTGAAATCAGTTTTTATTGAGGCTACCTAAGTACAGGATTTCTCACTTCTTTGGTCTGAAAATGTGTTGCTTGTTTATTGAGCTGCAGAGACTGACCTTTGACCTGTTTGTGTCACAAAAAGAAGAAAGGTGTGTGGGAGAGAAGAAGCTGGAGTTTTTCTGAGGGAACGGAAAAACCCCTGAGAAAAAAAAAACTGAATTTCATGACATTTATATCAGTAGCTGATTAGAGCAGCCAACTGTTATTAGCAGTGTGGTTAAATAAAAGATATTTGGGTTTATTGTGTATTTAACTCCTTCCAGTCACTCTTTGTGATTTAAAACCATCATACTGAGAGGTTTGTATATTCTGAAGCTCGGAGCCTGGGCTTTTCACTATTAGCCTCAAACTGCCCTTGTTTTAGGTATAATCTGAGAATATAACAGCGCCATGTTGAGGGATTTAGATCCATCCTCCTCCTAACAGTCCGGCTTTGTTTAGCCTGAAATATGATTCACACAAATAAGAGCTGTTAAAAACCACCCACGTTAAACCAGATTCATGTTTAGGGGAGCAGAAGAAGTGAGAGCGGATTAGAGGCACCGGGCGCCATGATGGAGCACTGCTACTCCACGTAGGCTGCTCCGCCAGAGCAGGCCTTCTGATCCGGTAGAGGTCTGAGGCAGCGCCATGTTTGTTCAAAACAACTTAAACTCATTTCACCATAAACCCATCCATCCATCCACTCACTAACACTTCCTGGAGCCTTTACGCTAAAACCGCCGTTACAAATGTGCAGCGCGGACAACCAGCTTTGTTTTAGCGGAAGTTAAAAGAGTTTACTGCAAGGCCGCTGTAGGTGCTGGCAGGAATGGAAAGCCGCCATGTTTGAATCAGTGTTGCTGCTAATAGAACCTCTGCCGTACTGTAGGCTGGAGGAGCTGCCCGCTCAGGGAGAGGAGCAGGGCCGCTGCGGTGTTACAGCAACACCTGGAGCCTGGGGTCTGCTTTCTGGAAGAACCTCTCTAACAGACTGCCTTCCAATACCAACATGAACGTCTTTACGTCTCCACAACACAAAGTCATGAAGGACGGCGTTCATTTTACATTTAATAACGGCCTAAAGTTGAATCACTCAACTAATACTGTTGGCTGCTAGCTCACACAGCTAGCCTTACATATAGCAGAAGAAGAAGCAGCTCCTGTCACAGTTCGCCCAATAGGAACAGGGCCGTAAATATCTATAGAATATTCACTTATATTTCTATGTTATCTATTCAGTTCTATATCTATGCTGTGATCCCTTGAAAGGGTTGGAGGATAAGGCCCCGCCTCTTCCGCCTCTGCCCTATCCCGAAGAGACCACGTGGTTAAAGCGCGTGAATCGGAGGCTGAGGGGGGGCGGCGTCACCGTTCAGCTCGCAGAAAGAGAGGAAAACACAGCCTACACCCGATTTGATCCGATCCCGCCAGAGTTTCCCCCCCACTCTTCCAGACCCACCCACCCAGCAGATTTGACCCACTATAATCCACGGAGCCCACGGGAGCTGCTGCTGCTGCTTCGAATCACGGATTTTTTAAATTGCTTCTGCTCCTCTAGTCCACCTGGATTTACAATCAGATACACTCTCCTCATTGTTGGACATTTTTTTTATTTTTACAATATTTAGTAGCGTTTATTGGTTTTGATTATTAGTCTAATTCCTTACTAATTCCAGTTAGTTTTCGACAGCAGCGACGGGAGCTGCTTTATTAAACTTTACGGATTCCTAACCTTACAGTTTTTCTGGGGTTCTTTTTTTTTTTGCTCTTGGTAAAGATTAAAAAGCACCATGCACAAACTATACATCGGGAATCTGGGGGACAGCGTGACCGCTGAGGACTTGGTGAAAACCTTCGAGGATCATAAGATCCCTTACTCCGGACAGTTCCTCATGAAGAACGGCTATGCCTTCGTGGACTGCCCCGATGACCACTGGGCGATGAAAGCCATCGAAACATTTTCGGGTGAGTTATGGAGAAAAAAATGTTTCCTTCCCACTCCGGCTTCTCAGCAGATCCACAAATGCTTCAGCCGCTCGAGAGCGTCTTTAACCCGGCCTCCATGGCTGAAGGGGGGCCGTGGGTCGTGCACCGAGGGGGGGTCGTTCAACTTTTGCAAGGGGGTGGGGGTAACCAATGGTGCACATTTAAGGTCACGATGGTAGAGGTGAACATCTAACCAGCTACATTAAATAATTTTGGCCTCTGTGTGTAAGAAAGTGTAGCTTTACTTCCAGTTTAGATAACAGTTGTGTTTAAGACAGATAAGTCTGGCCTATATTGAAGAGAGGAACCAGTAAACCCAGTTCTTATTACCCAGTTCCATAGGGGCCCCCTGGTCTGCAGGCCAGTCAGCTTTCCAATAAACTATCACTACTAAATCACTCATGTTTTAACAACAGTTTCATACAAAACATGAATCCTGCAGATTTGGGTTGAAAGTTTCTCTTTTACTCTAGCTGTTAAAAAAAAGAATAAATAAATATTTATATATAGCTGTGTGTTTTTTTTATTTCCGAGTCTTTTCTTATCGTATTTTACTTTCTTAATAATCAGGTTATTAGATGTTTTGTTGCTGCAACACCATGCTGTAAATAGCAGCTAGCTGTTAGCCTGTAGCCTCTGATCTGGGATGATTTAATCTGATTTAATCTGACCCTCCTTGTTCTTCTTCTCTTCAGGTAAAGTGGAACTTCATGGGAAACGCATTGAGGTGGAGCATTCTGTCCCCAAGAAACAAAGGTACTAAAAAAAAAACATCACCAAACACTTTGAACTGTTTTCTAAACACATTTGCGGGAGTTTGTCACATTTTTGGCGGTGCTGGGAGTTGTGCTGTGAGTTCTGTGCTGCTGTGTTCCGCGGTGTGTCGCTGGATGATGGAGGCTGGTTATCTGGTTGTTGCTGCCGGCCGCCATTGCTGAGGACCCGCTCTGCCCGAGGCTCCTGCTGGCCTCTTCTGGCTGCCTGGCTCTTCAGTCTTTCAAACAGGCTCATATTAGTGCTTTAGTGAATCTAGCTTTTAAAGTAAAACGTCACATTTTTACAAAATCAGGGAATTTTCCGCCGTAACCTTCAACCCCTACAGAAACTCAACAGGCGGCCCTGCCTGACTTAAATGTTACAACAGCCACTAAAATATGCAGTATATTTAATAGTGCATTAATCTTCTACATCTCGTATATTATACTTTAGTACTAATAGTACTATGATATAGTATAGAATATACTACATAATAGTTGTGTTTTTTATGCTTGCAGTGTGAGTCTGTTTTCAATTTTATTCAATTATTCCTGCTGACAACGTATTAATAGGTTATAGTCTGCTCTTACAGTATTTTACTAAATAATAATTGGAATTAAAAATATCTCTTAGTGAACTGATTGTTTAATTGAATTAATTTAGCTACTATAACTGTAAACCTGCCTTTCTATAGCACGTCTAGTTTGTTTTGTTTATAAATGTGCTTTAGTTCAGCATCAGAGGGTCTGCATATGGTGGTTTTATTTTGCTGGCGTGTTTCGGTGGTCGCTCTGTTTTTCTAGATCTAGCAGATAGTCGATGATTCGTGGCTGTAACCTTTGGCCCAGATAGAGGAGCTCCGCCATTTGGCTGAACGTGCTCCTCCTGCGTGAGCTCCATTATCACCATAAACTGATGCTCACACTGATTCATGTCTGCACATTAATTTACCAGCAGCACAGAGGTTTTAACCAGGAGCAGACTTTTAGGTGTCCGTCCTGATGCCTGATAACAGTTAAAATTCCCCAAAACACTGAAACTCCCCCGCTTTGTTTTTTCCCACTGGGCTGCAAGGAGGAATCTGTGGATGTGGACAAAACCTAGAAGCGATCTGCGGCTTTAAAAGTCTGCAAATAAACATTTTTCTGGTTCCTTCCAGGCCTTCCCTCTCTTTTAACGGTGGTCGCTTCGTAGGATCACCGTGGCGCTGAACACGTGGTTCCATCAGGCGAAAAAAGAAGCAGGTTGCAAAATGGCGAAGCTTTCAGTTGAAAGGAATTGGCTGCAACAGTGCAGGCAGGCAGCCAGCCCCCTCCAACAGCCAGGGGCGAGCGGGCCTTTCCTCTGCGGCTCCGCAGCCCGTTTAGCGGCTGTTTTTGCGGCTCTTTTCCGCTCATGGCCCAACTTTGGGAGCTGCCTCTTAAAATGGCCGTTCACTCTCAGCCCCTCAGGAGCAGCAGGCTTTTTCACATTTCATCACTAAAATGAGAATACAAAAAAACAAATTATTAACAGACTCTTTTGTTTCTGTACGTGCCTTTATGATGCGCTAAGGAAATTCAAGAGGAGTTTTTCTTTTCTCGTGCCTTTAAAAAAAATCAACAATCAAATCCCATTTGGTTTATTTTTATACAACAAATAAATTTCAAAACAAAAGGTTTCTGCTTTATTTTGGATTTAAAACAGAATATTTCCTCCTAGTGATGATGATGATGATGATGGAGTTCCACATCTGGAATCATGGTTCAGATGTGAGAACAGCATCAAACACCTTCTAGGCTGCAGGATTCCGCTGGTAGTGAAATGGGACCTCAGTGGAGGTGTGTGTTTGTGCTGCTGGGGGAGGAGAGGGGGGTGTTCAGAGGGAACTGGTCCTTATGGAGGGGGGAGGGGCAGCTTTCTGGAAGGAAAGAGCTTCAATTCTCTTTTTATGCAGAATGTGGCAGATCAGGACTTATTATGTGCAGGGGGGGTGAAAAGGGAGGGGCCCTGGCCTGTGGTGAACCTGCAGTGTTTTGTTTGGAAGATACTCATGGATGGTTTTAGACTGGAACCACCTGTGCAAAACTGCATTACGCTTCTTAATGCTGCAGGAAAAGATGAGTAAATAATTATCGATTTAAAAACAAAAAACATGCTTCATTAGTCTCGCTCACATGTTGATATTTTTCCATAGATTTATTTCAGCGGTTGTTGAAATCAGTTGCAAAGCTGCTATAATAACCTGTTTTTACTGTTTAGGAAAATATCGTCGCCAAATCTGGTCATTTCTGCTCTGATTCACTTGATCAGGTTTGTGTTTATAACAGATTTAGTTTAAACAACGTCTTAATTAGCCGTTCCCCGTGCTGCTTTTTTTTTTAAGGATCCAATGATTAGTTTAGCATCTTTAGGTTTTAAAAACCATTACCCCCCCCCCCCCCCCCCCCCCCCCCCCCCAACAAATCTCTTATTAAATAGGGGAAAATATGCATTTGTATATATGGTGCGTGTGTTTGTGTGGTGTTCTTCTTAACCCTGTAATGCCAAATGTATCATATTTGATACATACGGTTTCTGAAATGTTTTGCGTCTGACACCTTTTGCATAATTTAATGGTAAAAACTATTGTACACAATCAGATATACCTGATAACAGAGGGCAGAAGAAACACAAAAAATAATCTTGACTTATCGCATAGTAATAAATTATTAATATCAAAAATTTATTTCTGTTTTTTCTTTTTACATATTTTGTTAAAAGGCCAAATAAGGACTTCAAATCAAAAAAAGTAATTTTCTGTTTTTGTTTTATTCTTGGATCGTGCTTTAAAGGGTTAAACTCCACCCACCTGCTGCAGACGCATAAAAATGGGAGCGCTGTCTGTTTATGATTGTTGAAATTTGTGCAAATTAGTACAACATTTAAAACACGTCAAAAGGAAGAAAAATAAAGCAGGTAATTAGTGACAGAAAAAAAAAGTGCTGCCTGTTAGTTTTTTTAAATCTTCACTATGTGTACATGTTGCTGTTCATGTGTGGCTAAAGCTGTGTTGCTAACCTTGGCGTGTTTGTTGGATCCCAGCAGATCAGCCGTCATTGTGTCTGAAACGCTGAACCCAGATCATTCAGTAAAATCTGTTTTTGATGGGAGCTCAGGCACCAGTTGCTCATAGATGAGCGACAGTAAACTGGGAATATTGGTTGTTGCTCCTGTCATTATTTGCGTCTGAATTTTAAAACTGACCTTAAGGTTTTTTAAACTTAAAGTCTTCATCAGTAGCTAACAGTAAATCTCTACTGATTAGCATCCTGACATCACTGCATGCAGCTGCTTATGAGCACCTTGTTTTAAATATTCAGGACAGATCAGATATCGGTTCCACCGACCCTGATACATTCTGCTTATTTTTATCTTTTTAAGCCAATATTGTTTTTTATTTTCCTCTGGTTACCTGATTAAAAACACAATAACTCCTGTTTTACTGATTTAAAGCAGATGGAGTGTTGCATCGCACTGAACCAGAGAAGCATTGGCCAGAAATATCGGTTTGTCTCTAATTGGTTTCCCTCAAAATGCTTCTTAATCGTTTTTATATGTTGAATAAAATGAGATAACTGGAGGGAAACTCTAGGATGAAACGGCGATGGGCTGAACGGGCCACGCCGGGAGCACGCCGCGCTGCACTGAGGAGTCAGATGGAGCTTTAGGGGGATGATGGATAGGCAGCCTGGTATCTGTTTTTAAAATGGCATCCTTTAATCTGTGAGTCTGAATGGCATGGCTGAGGCCAGGAAGGTCAGGCGTACAGTAACCCCCCCCTCCATCCGCCTCTGCTCTTTGTTCTGAACCCGGACAGTTTGCCTGGTTACGGTCCTGCAGCCCACATGTCCGGTTCTGTCCGATTGAAGGGCGTGTCGGTAGCAGAGGAGCCTCCTGGAGGAGCTGCTCCTTTGCACCCGGGATGCATTTTCCATCGCTGCTCTGCTCATGATCTGCAGGTACTTTCAAGTGCAGGAATTTTACACGCCAAATGCATGCATGACTCCCGTGGCGTGAATCAGGCGCAGCGTGTGAGGCTCAGAGAGACGGAGGGAGAAGGAGCCATGGCTGGATTTCCTCACCTCCTGTGTTTGGCTGACGGGAGGGGGAGGGGACGGTGGGTGGAGGGAGCGAGGGGGGTGCGACCAATCGTCTGTCAGGACCGGCGGGGGTCACCCCCCCTTCGCTCTGTGACTCAGAGGAGTGAGCGTGTCCTCCCCTACACGCATGCTCTGACAGCGACTCTCTGCTTCCCGTCTCTCTGCAGCACAGTGTGTTCATTCCTGCCTCTCTTGTTCCTCGCCGTCCCTTGGCGTGTTGCCATGTTCGCTGCAACACCCCCAGAGCTCTCCACAAAGAGCCGACGCTGAGCGCTGGAAACGAAGGCAGACGGCGAGATCCAGGGAAGGTGGCTGGAAGACGGATCCGGTGCGTTTTTTAACGTCGGGCTGGTAGACGGCGGATCCGGTGATCCGGAAGGTCGATTTAGAGCTTTCTGATGGCGGACCTCTCAACCCGACAGAAATAAATCAGACAGAATGGGTTCCTCCTCTGGCTCTAATATAGAATGTACAGAAGCAAATACTGATGTCAGATCAAACTCCATCTGGTACTTTACTTCATAAATCAGCCGAACATTAAGCTGTTTTTTTCTTTCTTCTCGGTTTAAACCAGAACAAAAAGGACTGGTTGATTCAGAAAGAAACATGGCGGCCTGGATTCAGGGTTTGGTTACTTTAGGATGTGTGGATTAACAACCATTTGATCATTTTAGGGCAGAAACAATCAGATTAATTGTAATTCATCAATTATTGAGATAATCATCAATTAAATTTAGCGGCTGGTTTTCTAATGTTTACTGTTTAACTAACTTTAGTGCCAGTTTGTTTGCTTCCTGCTGTTTCATCTAGTTTGGCTTCACAAAACTGGAAGTGATCGACACCAAACACTGCTGATAATCAATTAAACTGTTATTTAGC